ATATTTTTGAATAACTTTTTTTCTGAAAGTCCTAGAGACTTGGGCATCTCACGCGTACTAAAGGGGAGACAGCCACGCACCCACACCAAATTTCAGCCCGTGTCAGAGTTATTCACCCTCTGGTGAATAGGGTTAGGGTTAAATAACATATTTAGTTTTTATATTTTGAATTTGGCCTGATTCAAAAACATTATTCAATTAACAAATGTGGGATGTGCATACCAATTTGGGTTTTTATGGGTGTATGCAACACACGAAATTTGCATGTTTAGCAGTCAGATAATAAATATTTCTTTCCCTTTCAAAACACTTTTTTATACCATTATGAAAGACTTGGATATAACTCTCTCATAACACAATGAAGCTTGTGTCTGTTTTGTGGACAGGACTGCAGCATAATTTGCAAAGTACATCTTTTTGGTCCATGTCAGACTTTTAATATCCAAACTGTGTCCCTTTTTAGGTACGAGATCCTCTATTTGTCTTTGCTGGTCGGAGTCTTTTTCATGTCTGGATTTATCTTGTTCTGACAGCATACAAATTCCAAAAAACAAAAAATGCAGCTGTAAAAAGTGGGATGTAAATGTCTGAGTGTGATATGAAATTTCTTTCATTACATGAAGTACATGGTCTTATTGCTCAGCCCTATGCACTGCAGGAACTGAGTGAAAGGCTAGGAGTCAAAGTGGGCTGAGAGGACAGGAGAGGACACAAGTGTGAAAGATGCATAATGCATAGAGAAACAGTAAAGGTTGTGTTTCTCTTGGAGGAATGCTGAATGAATGAGGGATGAGAGAGAGCAATGTGAGAATGAAGGATGAGAGGGAGGGAGTCCGGAGAGGGTGATGGAGGAGGAAACAGAATGAGTGATGAGAAGGTGGAGGCAGAGGCAGGAGGATAAGGAGACGGTGGCAGAGGGAGAAAAGAAGGATGAGAGGGAAGGAAAATAGATGAGACGGAGTGTGAAGAGAGGAAATAAATGAGGAGTTTGAACAATGAGAAAAGTGGAGAAAATGCAGAGAAGCTAATGATAGAAGAGGTTGAGGGAGTACATAATGTCCTCCTTAATATAAAGTCACATGGTCGCATATATAGCATTATGATGTGAATAAGGAAAGATTTATTTTACTTGTATACATTTAAAGAAATAAAAAAGAACAACTTTCTAGATCTGCAGGAAAAACTCTCATCCTGCTCAGAAAAACTGATGAATTGTCTTCAGTGTAGCTGAAGGGACATTTTCAGTCCATAAGTTACGAGCATCGTTGTCAGTGGGTGCAGCCAGACAATCCAAAGATGGACAACGCCGGAGGATGTTTTCCTCCCAAGAAAAACAACATCGGCTGTTTCAGAAAACGCCCGATAATGAAAAATGTACACCTTCAAGTGACAAAGATTTCTCTTATGACTCTTTTCCAGGAAAAGCAAAGGAGGAAGTAAAGTGATGATGTTGGATAGTTCAGACTTTCGGACCAATTGCAAGAAGTTGTGGCAGCATTAAACAGTGGAAGACCGGATACTTGTAGACTTCACCTCCGATGATATAATGTTTGAACAACAAGGATGTTCATTTTGCTGTTAGTTATATCCTGTAATTTTATTTTACAGGGCCTCCTCTGTCTACAAACTAGTCAATAAGTAGATGCAGCCCACGTAGGTGATGCAACAGGACGTACATATGACATACAAAAGTCTTTCAGTCCTCTATCTATACTAAATCCAGAACCAAAGCTAACCGCATCAAATAGTAGACTATTAGGTCTCCTTCATAAATATTGAATGACAAATATTTTTTCAATGCAACTATAACTTTCAATATGGCAACAAGACAAATCAACAAAAATGAAAACTATATTCCAACACAGTTTTCGGAGCCTCCTTCATCTTTCAAAGGGAAACGGATTCAGTGCCCTTCATCCAAAAGTGGCTGATGCTCGATAAACCAGTGAAATTATAAAGTTTTCTTGTAATGTAGATAAGTGCTTATATGGAAATCTTCTGGAGTGGGATTTGAAAGTGTGAGGAGGAGGTGGAACAAAAGCCAATTTGTTATAAAAAAGAAGTGAAAATGAGAGCGTCAGAGCTTTATGGTGGCGTGGGACAAAGCTTTGAAGAAATGGGTCAGTTAACAGCAGGGTTTTCTGCTCCCGTGTATCATCACATTGGTTTTTTTATTGTTGCATTGCTCTTCCCTGACACTGTAGTTAGAGGGCACGCAAGCCTGATTGCTTCCTGTCACTGCTCCCGCTGAGCGTCCTATTAATCTTTGGGACCTGCTCTAATGAAATAATTGATTGATTATGTCAGTGTATTATCTATCAGTGCTGCTGCAGTAGCTCTAGCATACTGAGCGACTACAGCTCATGATTTATGATGATTATCGAGGGTGATTATCTGACCTCAGGATTTTTGTCTTCTCCCCATCTCCCCGTGCCTTCCTCCCCATCTGTCTTGTTTCCTGTCACATTCCTGCCCATCCTCACTTTCTCCATCTCTCCACTCCTCCACCTCCCACCCTCCGTCTTTCCTCTCCACCTCAGGGCGAGTGTTCCGCCAAGTGCTACAACATGTTCATCATAGAGACGGTGTGTGTGGCCTGGTTTTCCCTGGAGTTCGTCCTGCGCTTCATTCAGGCCCGCAGCAAGCTGGACTTCCTCCGAGGGCCACTCAACATCATTGACGCCATGGCCATCCTTCCCTACTACGTCTCCCTGGTGGTGAGTGAGGAAGACCCGAACCTGGAGCACGAGCGGCCAGGAGGAGGTAAGGGCTACTTAGACAAGTTGGGCCTGGTGTTGAGGATCCTGCGGGCACTGAGGATCCTCTACGTAATGCGCTTGGCCCGTCACTCCCTCGGCCTGCAGACGCTCGGGCTGACGGTCAGGCGAAGCACCCGGGAGTTCGGCCTCCTCCTGCTTTTCCTCTGCGTTGCCGTCACTCTCTTTTCCCCGCTGGTCCACTTGGCCGAGAGCGAGCTCACGGGCACCCATGACTTCAGCAGCATCCCTGCCTCCTACTGGTGGGCTATTATCTCCATGACAACCGTAGGCTATGGCGACATGGTACCGAAGTCCATTCCAGGGCAGGTTGTAGCGATGAGCAGCATCCTCAGTGGAATCCTCATCATGGCCTTTCCTGCTACCTCCATTTTCCACATGTTCTCTCGCTCCTACCAAGAGCTCAAGATGGAGCATGACCGATTGTTCAAGGAAGAGTGTGCGGCTGCCGCAGCTGCTGCCGCCTCCGGGGATCTGCCAGAGGCGGTGGGGGGAGGGGTTGGGGACTCAGCTCCACTTGGTCTGGGATTACATCTAGACAAGCAGACTGTGCACTCACTGGAGTCGCTGGCTCTGCTGGGAAAAGGTGGAGAAGCTGCAGGAAATAACAACCACAGCCTTCCAGCAGCTGCTTTCTGAGCAGCACTCGCACTGACTGACTGAATCCAAAGCTTCCAAGAACATCCGCATCCCTTAATCTCTATCTTATATACTGTCAAACTACTGCAAATGACTATTGCTCCAAATGCCTCGGTCCCCGCGTGGCTATGAAGCATCTGTGTTGCATGGATAAGAGGAGATTAAACATACAGCATTTCCTTTGCCCTTCCTCTGATGATAGGGAGTACTAGTGCACACACCGCTGACTGCACAAGACTGAAAGACATAAAACCCTTTAAGTTGGATGGTTCAGTCTGTCCGACCAGAAAGCCTCCGCAGCAATATTATAAACTGGTTGCTTCCATAAACATGCAATAGTCAGTCCAAAGTTGCTTTTCCTTCCACTGTGAAAATACCTAAAAGCCCAACTGCAACGTTCAGTTTTAGTCATATTACTTTTTAATATGTTGCCTGCAGTATGGCCTGAAAATGTGTCTCTACTGTATATTCTACTTTTCTGCCATGAAGTCTCTGGTTATTCTTTGGGACGCTTGAAACCATGTTCCGAGAAGAAATATTAACAAACCGACAGCTTTGGCTCTTAAAGACATATATCCATTGCTCCTTTATGTATCTCCTGTGTGATGGGACTCTCTGTTGTGAACTCCTGGTAAACTGAGCGAGGATGCTGCAGATGTTGTGATCCAAACTTTTTTTTTTTAAATCATCTGAAGAGGAAATGAAGAGAGCATTGAGGGTGTGTGAGTGAGAGAGAATGAGCGCTGACAACCATGAAATGTACTTTGCAATGCTTCAAATAAAAGCTCTCCTGGTAATATGAGAGAAATCCATTTTCTTGGCTGTAGTTTTTCCATTTTCGGTCTAATCTCTCTGGCCAGGATGCTCAATCAGAGTCCTGCTGCTGAACCTGCCGAACAGCCAGAAGCGCGCAGATTAAGCATTATGTGAACAACAATTCTGCGACAATCCCCTTCTTACATCACCTCCTTGTTTTCATGTAAACAATTACACCACTCGGGAGTAGATGCCACGGCTCTGTAAATCTTTAGTTTTTTAGACAGGGATCTCCCTAATGCAACTGTAATCTCTGTTTAACGTTACATCTTCAGGTCTCGGACAAATCAATCCTCTCATCTGCTGTCAAATCCTGGGGTGGCTTCCAAAACGGCTGGGGTCATGCTCCCTTTTCTGAGAAGAGTGGTCCAAGAAGGATGTGGAGGCATGCAGGGACGTGCCAGATGTGGATATAATCTAGATTAAAGTTGGAATTAAAAACCTCACAGACAAACGGGTTACTGCCTGAAACTCAGTCTTATCCAGTCACTTTTAATTTGCTTTTACTGTTTTTTTTCTCTGTTCCGAATCTGCAGTTATTGTAGTTTGGTCACTTGAGATTTATTGTGGCATATATCGCCCACATGGAAAAAAAAGAACTCTGTCATTTATTGAAACTGCACAAAGGACAACATCTTACAAGGTGTTTTGCTTACTGTTGTTTTTGTCACTAGTTTGGCATTTTGTTAAATATCTCCTGCAGTGTTATGTGACAGGACTGACAATTACTCTCAAGCCTGTACGCACATTAAACTACAGCCAGGAGTGAAATGGACGAGGAATTTAAATGACTGTCTCCAAACTGCAAACTGTGTTTTTCAGACAGTTGTTCAGTGTCTGATAGCTCTCTCCAAACAAATGAGGCTGACATTACGAGGCTATTGAAACAGATCACTGTCATTAAATGGCAAAAACTCTTAACCTGTTTCCCGGATTACAAAAACATTTAAACGCCACCAGGAAGAGTCAGTTATAGTTTCTGCAATCACACAAAAAGTAGGATTCATTATTTTGATTGTAAGATTAAGTGTTTGCAAACACACAGACTCATTATTTTTCTATAAACACACACTCAACCTCATACTTCTATCTTATTGTGGACACTTTTTCTAGCCAATTTCTGAGCCCCATACCCTAACTTTAACTATAACTACATCATCTAATCAGACTCAGGTCCCCACAATGAGGCAATACCTAGGTCTCAAACACACACCTGCAGGTTGTTTCTTGTGATCTCATTGGATGGATCTTGTTTCTTGAAGCTCTTTTATCCTTCACTTAGGACTGTGTCTGCAGGCACATGCAGATGTGTGATGAGCCTGGAGACATCTACAATCTGCAGAATAACAAAACACACAGCTCTTTAATTAGTGTCCCTCTGCGGTCTCTCTTTTTTTTAATTTCACTCTCAGATTTTGACGCCTCACTGCTTCTATTTATCTTTATCCCTCTCAAATCAGCCTCTTAACCAAATTTACATGACTGCTCATCTGAAACAGCGTTATCCCAACTGTCAGAAAGTCAAACACTGACATGCAACAGTGCTACACATAATGAATTCAGCAATATCACACTTGTTGGAAAAGTTCAACGAATCCATCAAAAGTTTGTAAAGCCATCTCTGTCTCTCTTTCCCTCTCTCTCTTACAGATGCACATGGACAAACGCTCTCTCGCTCACACACCTACTCACAACGGAGGCCGAGGTTTTAGTGGGAGTTTTTCTTGCTCATTGAGAATCTAAAGGTGGAAAAGGGTCACCACATGCATTCATTGTTCCCATACTGTGGGCGTTGGGAAGCCTTGTGAGACTGTAATTGTGATTAAGAAGGCGGCACAAATAAACTTAACTTGCAAATGTGTGGTTTCTTGCAGCTGGTGAAGTGAGGATGCTGGTGCTGCGGGCTGACGTGGTAGAAAAGGAATATGATGATGATGGCGACCTGGCAGACACAGATGGATCGTCTGTCATGTGTGTTATCTGCCTCCCCCTTATCGCTGTGACATTTATGAAGACAAACCTAGAAATTGCCTTTTACAATGGGAAAAATGGGGAGAAGGAAAAGACAAGGAGAAGTAAGTTGATGTTATTTTCGAATTATCGTTGTGTCCTGTGCTCCACGCCTCTCTGGTTTCACTCATGGCTGCAGGGTAAAGGAGCCAGTTTGGGATAAAGAGCCTCTCAGAAAGTCAATCCTGAGGTATTGCTTTTTAAGAAGGATTTTATTATTAATAAGCCAGCTAACCCAAGTTTTGAGGATTCCTGGGGGCCATAGAGAGACTGAGGATGATGAGTCAGAGACATAGTGTTGTACACGTCGTGACGACAATAACCAGCAATATTAAAACTAAGTCTGTTTGTTGGTTCGTTTATTTCTCAGCAGGATTATGCAAAAACTACCAAAGAGATTTCCATGAAACTTGGTGGAAGGACATGGGACAGAAAAGACCCCCATAAAATTCTGGGGCAGATCCAGGAATTTTATAATTTTCTTTAACATTACAAGTAAGTTTTACAGATTTCCTAATAATGAGAGGATTTTGATGAAAGTAATCAGACTGATGAGTGGGTGCAATTTGATGTGGACCTAAACAAAAATGGGGAAGTAGTTCATTTAAACATTTCATAAGGCAACTGTTGAGCCTCTACTTAGCCATTCAAGTTAAAAATCTATATCTCATTTGTTCGATCGTGCTGCATCGAAAGAAATATTAAGTGAGAATGAAATGTTGTGGTTTCATTAGTGTCACTACGCAAACACTAGCTAACACAGGCTTCCCCTGCTTCCACGCTGAGAAAAAAGCTAAACTGATTGACTCTAGTTTGTTAAACGGACAATGTATGGAATTAATCTTCTCCTCTCCACAGGGTAAAACTTTAAGAAACACAAATGAAGGTGCAGCTAGCAGCCGGTGTACATAGCTACGTGTAACATCTGGAAGCAGGGAAGTTACTCACCCAGATATCCTATGGTAAAAAATGTAAAAAAGCACTAAGGCTACATCCATAGTCTACATTTTCATTTGAAAATACACCCACTCTGCTTCAGGTTCACCTGGTGTCCTCTCCCATCCCAACCTTAGAGGTGCGTTTGTGTCAGCTGTTTCCCCCGTTTCCTATTTCCAAGCTAGCCTATAGGGTGTAGCCATAGACTGTATATTAAAAAGGTGTCACTGAATTTTTACCACAGAGACATGAGAGTGGCATCAACTGTCTTTCTTCACAAGAAATGTAAAACAATTCCTTTAGAATTCTCAGTGCATATGGCAGCACACGCTTTCATCCAGAGAGAATTCAAACTCAGTTAGCGAACTTAGTGATCTCCCGGAGCTACATCAGATTTTTGTCTGGTTTTTCACACTGTGGAGAGCCACCATGTCTCCGACAACCCAAACCCACTGAAAGACATGGGGAGCAGCAGGAGGGGAGGAAATAAAAATTCATGGCCAGCTTTACTTTCATCCTATATTCATATACTGATGACGGCTCTCCAGCTACGGTTATGTGCTGCTGGGTCGTCTGAGCTGAGAGCTTTTTAAGAAACGCTGTGATTATAATAGTGAAGACCGTGTCTGACTTTCAGGGTTCTTTAACCTTGAAAGGGATTTAATAATGGAGAGTGAAACAGTGAGTTTTTAGGGACATGAAGTCGACTTGTTTCTGGCCTTTGTTCTGCCCTTGTGCTTGAATGTTCTCCTGAATAAAAGAGCAGTTTGAAATATTACATTTTCATTTTGAGAAATTGGATGGAAATCTTTGTCTTCTGCTTCCAAGATGACCCAGTTGAGGTAGATCCCCTTTATCTAGATTTTTTTATGAGAGGGTTAATAAGAAATTCCCCACATAATGAAGCAATGTCGTTAATGAAAGAAATATGTTTGTTTTCCAGAAAATGATCTTGCAGAATAAAGTCTACTTGTCGTGACTATAAAGAGTCATTCAACTTTTATATGATTATGTTAAGTCACTTGCAGCAAACAGTTTTAGATTATCGTCATCACATGTTTGTTTCCCCATCCTCAACCTCAGTACTGTTGTTCTAATTTTGTTTTAATTGTTGAGCAATTTAAATGTTATATCCAATGAGGTATTGTGATTGGTTAAACAAATTTAGCTGTGTGCTGATTGTGATACCCACATGTGAGTCTCTCTTCAGTATTTAAACTATTTTTCACAATTTAAAATAATATTATTACTGAATAATTGTAATGAAAAGATCAAAAATCGAATGAAACTGATGTAAAACTTACATAAAAACTTGTCTGTCAATCACACAATGAAAATATGAGGCTAAGCTTTTAATGTGCTCTGGTCTCATTATGTCCTGTGCTCAAGGTCAAACTGGGAAATGCCACCACAGAAGCATTTTGCTCCTCTGCTGTTACAAGTCTTTGAATTTCTTCTTGGTCATGAGACATGATCAGTCTGCGTTTGCTCCCTGGTGTCTGTGTCAAGGTGGATGCACACCACAAGATTTCTGATAAGATGTGGATCCAATTAAAACAAACTGACACAGGATATCAGGATGGAAGCCTCTATAGAGACCATATTCCACCATCACTATAGAGAGAACAGCCTGGTGCAGACCATACATTTTAATCAGCTGAAAGAGTCCCAGGGTGTCTTCTCCCCCTAATCTGAAGGAATGAAATAGAAAAGTGAAGACAATCTATGGAGGGGTATCCTGCCAACTCTACCTCACTGTAGGGACACCAGAACCAATTCACTGAATAACATAAAATGTGCATGTCAATAAAAACAATGCAAGTTGTTTTGCTTTCTGCTCCTACATGAGAAAGTTGGGTTATTGTGGTAAAGAGGGGAAATCACAGGATGTGTGGAGGTTTGATGTAGATTTAAAACTGCAGGAAAACAGAACGCCTCTCTGGGTGACAGGAACGAGGAGAGACGGAGGAGCAGCGAGGGGTAAAGATAAAAGGGACGGAATGGGGAGGACAGAGAAGAGGAGTCTCTTTTTTCTTCTTATTATGCAGCTTTATAATGAGTTGAACTATGTGCTTGGACTTTAGATTAGATCTTTAGGTGCTTTCAACTTCACTCTCATGATTCACCTCCCTGGAAAGAAAACGGGCTGGACACACACACACACACACACACACACACACACACACACATAGAGAAGCAGCTACGAAGGCCATGATGAAAACAAAAGTCCTCAGAGAAAACCCCTCACACTCGATCACTATTCCAGAGCTGTACACAAAGTTTGAACTAAAAGTGCATCTCTGTGAGAAAACACCCAGCGGTGCAGAAATCAAAGTTAGAAGCAGGGGAGATGCTAATTGTATTGAGTAAATGATGTAATGGTATGAAAACTCCTATGAGGCTCATTTATCTGAGATATTTACATTTTGATCAATGTTTTGTTATCTTCTGCTTGTTTGTCTCTAATCCTGACACAGTGTCAGTGAAGCTGTTTGTGTCGCACCAGAATAAAAGCAGCCGATTGTTAAACTTGATAAATTGCCATGAACTTTATGTCTGAAATAAAATGTATCATCATTATATTTTTTTAGCACCACCAGCTTGTCAAAACTTTTACAAAGAAACATCCCAGCGTGTATTGGACGGACTGGTACAGAGTTCTCTACAAACATGTCTGGTCCTCAATCAGAGTCATTTATTAATGACCACACATCAAGGTGGAGGAATTCTGTTTCAGGTGCAGCATGGATACGATCGTGTAGGACACAGATATAAACCAATGTTACATTATAGGGCAATAGTACACTCCCTGCATACAGATGCATATACGTACACCTGTAGAGCAGGTGCCCGAGGGCTTGAGCATACACCTGCCTAGAACCTGTTTTTAAGGTGAATTCCTTGCTGCATGCAGGAAACAGCTCCCTGACTCACATTGCCTCTCAGCTGGAGACCAGAGCGTCACATTCACAGGTAAGATCATCCTACATATTGATATTCAGTCTGAGCTGTGCACCTTATGTTTTACACTATTTTCCTCTGCACATGTCTCCATAGCTACATGTTAAATCCTCTGTTGTTTCAAATGAATGCATTTGGGAATGGAGAGCCTGGGGTGGTTTGAGCAGTGCTAGACTTGTTTGCGCTGGTGTTATGGTGACTGGAAACAGGGATGTGTCTCAATTTGGCAGCTATTGATCTGGAAAAAAATATTGTGTCTCACGGATAAGAAGGGCGTTAGTCATCCAGCAGCTGTCGACCAGTTTAATCACTGCTGTTGCAGATGATTGAGCAAAGGACATCTCTGCATGTTCGGCTTGTGAAAGCTTTTAAATCACACATGAAACCAAAATCTGTGGTGATTATTCTGCTCCTGATTTATTCTGATCTCTTTGAGATTTTAAATAGCCTTGCTTTTTCATTTCTCACCACACTTCTGATTAAAGTTCTGGTTTAGTGTTAGAAAAGATTTTGCGTGGCCAGTGGATGACCCGTGTGCAATCCACTTGTCGGCGGCTTCCGCTCGCCGCCAACAACACCGCTGCCATCTGGGTAAGCCCACACACACCTGTGCTTTCTGGGAGGGTGCCACAGAGAAAGGCAGTGAGGCACTGAGGCAGAGGTGGAGGGTGGGAAACGGTTTGCAGGGTTGGAAAGGACGAGGTCACGCAAGAAGAGAGTGGATTTTATCCTTGCATAATTTAAATCATCACAACAGTGTTTAAAAAGACATAAATCCTTCAACTGGCATTTCAGAAACCATTTAGAAGGTGAGTCATATATTTAAAAAGAGCAAAAATATGGATCAAGAAATTTAAATCCATCCATTCATCATCTCTTTCGGTTATCCTTTAAGGATCACGGCAGGCTGGAGCCAATCCCAGCTGACGTGAGGCGAGAGGAAATAGAAATAAATGGAGGATTATGGGAAGTATGACAGTGTACAACCTTTTTCCAACACGACGCCTCTCAACCTGACCCCTGTTATCTCCAAATGCTGAACATTTTATTCTTGTGAGCAATTAGATATAAGTTGGAGAAAATGTATTCATGACGTGTTTTTACTTCCTATCACTTCTACAAAAGTAACTTGGGGGAAAAAGTGGATAGGCCATTAGTCATGCAGCTGTTCTCGCATCCACAAGTGGCGGAGGATGACCAGGATGACCCTGGATTAATGGTTATCCACGTCAAAAAGTTCAGATCTATTTCCCCCCGGGTTTGCACCAAGTGTTAGCAGAATTTCTGACAAGGCCATCAGCCTGCTCCTCTCCTCCCTTCTCTTCTCTCCCCTGTCCATTCACCAGAGTTATTCACACTCAGCTTAAAACAAGGCCGACTAAACATTCTTTGGGAGGGCTAAGAAAAGATAATGGATAAAGGGAAATCTGCAAGCTAAAGGGGCGTGTGCGGATGTGAAGCGTGTGCTGCAGTGTGTGTGGGTTGGTGAATGAGGGTGAGTACATGATTTGGTTTTTAAGCAGGCTTGAATCCTAAATGATCATTGACTAAGCCATTTTTGGGGGGGGAAATGGGAGTGGGGATGGTGCCGAGGGCCAGTTTAGGTGAACCTGACTTGCCTGAGAATGAGTTCAGAAAAACATTTATAAAGTTTCCTCCAGGAAGCAGCTGTGCAGAGTTTACAACCTCACACTTCTTTTAATTAAATCACCAGAGACCAATCAAGCTTTGTTGGGCTGCACAAATAAATATGTATTATGGCTCCAGAGCTGCACTTCAAGTTGTTTCTGGATCAACAGAGTGAAGTCATTGTATATCCCACTGCAACCTGCTGGAGGAACAAAAGCACACTGACATTCAAATTCAGTTATGAGGTGTGTTTGTGTGTCTGCGTTTTGTGAACCATTACATTTTAGGTCAGTCTTTTAGGTAATGACATGTTTTAAGGTTAGGTAAGTTCATGTTTAGCTTAAGTTTAGGTTTTAGTCAAGTTTAGGTTAGGTTTAGATGATAAGTTTCCAGCAAATCAAGGTGATGTTCCTCTGAAGTCAGAGACACGACTTTGTGTGTGCGTGTGTGTGTGTCTCAATGTCTGCAGACTCCCTCCCTGTACTGTTACTACTTAAATGTTCTTCTGCAATGACCTTGGCTCATCACACACATAGCTTTTATGTGCATGTGTGTATTGCTGTTGGACAGAGAAGTCTAGTGCAGATATCTGTCTTGTAATAATAAGTCTGAAGCAGCACTGGCTCATGTTCTCACGCCCAGAGGACAGCATTTCTGTAATTGGGTGATTATTTGTTGTGAATGAAAGTCATTTATTTTAATCTTCTTTCAATGGGCACGAGGGCATCCAGGGCTCGACCCCTTTAACCCAATCAACGCTTAATGACTGCGAAGATACAGCCAATGATATCACTCTGATGTTACAGTTTAATGCTATCGTGCTAAAATGAAAGCTTCCATTACCACAACCGCAGCCACAGTCAACCTCCAGCATGAACTAATGTTGTCTCTGTGGCTGCATCAAGAATAAGTCACATGGATGAGGAGGAATGCATAATGATATAAAGACAGAAACCCTCTTATTGGAAGAAATAATTTATTTATGCTTTTTATTATATCTATAAATGATGAACGGGCGAAATGAGGGTCATTGAAGGGCCGCCAAGCGGTGGACTAGAAAAAAGGGACATCAGCCTGGAAGGCCGCTGGTGCGAGTCCACGGATTGGCCCAGAGGATGGAGCAGACCTGGATCTGTTAGAGTCCAAGAGGACAGATGGACTCTCCCTATCCCACTGTCTAAGTGCCCCTTTGCAAGGCACCTTACTCCCCCAACATCTGCTTCCGCTTTCCATAGCTGCCCACTGCTCCCTGTGGTCACTGTGTGTGCTGTGTTCCGTGTGCTGTGTTCACACGGATGGGCTAAAAGCAGGTGGTCAGTTTCCCCATTGCATGTAGTGCTTGTGTGTGCATGATTGTGGGACAATAAGGTAATCTTAACCTTAATCTTAATTGAATAGACCAGCGTCACTAGTGTTGCTAAAATACAAGCTGTTTAATGAGGAGGAATGCAATATAACCAGTTACCAGTTAGATGTGTTTCACAGTTATTGCATCACTAACTGAATAGAAAATAAAAAACAAGGTTTAAACAACATGTTAAGTGAGCAGAGTTTTATCCAAAACCAAATTCTAATATTTCAGTAATTGCTTTTTTGGAGCTTTTTGTTTGATCATATAAATCTTAAACCTAAATCATCAATAAAACACAGGCAGGCAAGTATTGGTTGAGCAACATTAGTGCAAATAAAAATCTAACCATCCTAGATAAGACCAGGTCTATGTCGTGTTTAATTTTTTGCATGCAGCAGGGTTATGAACAGCCTTTATGGTCAAACATCTCTGTCTTTCTATAACTGAATGTGTGGCTCTGTCTTCAGGACGTCTCTTGGTGATTCTTTATGAAAAACAAGTCTCCTGCAGCACCGACTCAGACATGAAGCCAGATAGAGAGAAACACGAGGCCAAAAACAAACAGCAGAGGAGTCCGGCTTCCTCTGGAAACACGACTAATAACACTCCCCTCTGCGCCCACTGTGTCTGACCTCGCCATCTCACATTCATTATTCAGCTGCTCCTCTCCATCATACCACTGACCTGCCCTCACCAGTCATCCCCACCATAGATTTATAATTTATCACCCATGCCTATGAATCTTTAATTGTTTTGAGAACAGCCAATGGTGATGTATAATTCAATGTTCTGTGCACAAGAAGCAAGCTTTTCCTGTGAATTTTTTTTTTTTTTACCATTTTTACCATTTTACCATTTTTACCTTTTGAAAAAAAGATGGGGGCAGGGATAATTCTCTTCATAGTGTTATGTAACCAAAGAAAAAAGCTATCGTGGAGATGAAGAGCTGTCTGAACTATTGTCTTGGTGTTGGGCCGAGGCAGAGAAAGAAGATTTATTCTTTTTATTCCTGCTCTCTGTCTGTCTGTCTGTCTGTGTGAGCTCTATTTTAAAGGCAGAGCGGTGACACAGTGACCTACACCAGAACACTGAACCCAACTTAAATCCTTCAAATTTAAAAAGGTGACAACATTCAGGGCTATAAAATATGAACCTATAAATTCAACCCATATTTAAAGTATGCAAATTCAGGCTAATGATTCAGCCCCTGTGTTAAAATGGTTTAATGTTGTGCTGACACATCCAGAAGATCAATATACCATAAATAATGATGTGTTGCTCTATCAATACAAGGTTACTGTCTTTGCTGCTGACTCAGGAGTCCGAGGAAAAGATTCGGCCCCAACACTTCTCAAGATGCTTGTCCCTAAGTGATGATACAGCACTTGACCACAAACCTCTGGTGCCTCTCTAGTGGACTGTAGAGCTCATATAACAGGTCGTTCATACTCTGAAAAATGGTTTGCAAAAAGTTCATCGGCAGGCTGTAGGACATAGAGGCTGTTAAAGGTTATTTATTTGTTGTTGTTTATTGAGGCTGTTAAAGGTTGTTTGTTTGTCAGGGCTGTTTTTGAGATAATGAAGTCGTCACTCTCGTTTCAGATAATGTTTGACCTTTCCTGTTTGTTATTGACTTTTCTTAGCCTGCTTTTTTGTACCAGGATGTTTGTTTGGCCTGTGTTGATGCAGGGTTGCAGCTTTCTTACTGTCAAAGTGACCTGCAGTAAATGAGTTATCAATTCAATCAACTTCAGGACTCAGTCAGAAGCTGCACAAAGAACCTGTTAATTCTAAGTTCAGTGAAGCTCGACTCAGTACGCAGAACTCAGAATTGGTGAATCAGTTGACGTTGCCTGTTTATTCAAATCCTATCGATATCGATAGCTGAAGAAGAAAACAACCTCTAGAACAGACTGTAGATTCTTAAACTCAAGAACTAAACATAAATATTCATATTCATATATAATTATTCATATTGATTTGACAAATCTAACTGCATCATGTCTCTGTTGAACAACCCTTTCCTCAGTGGAAGTCCTCTGAGCACCTTGCTGGTTTCACTTTGCTTTTGTGACATTAATTCCGACACACTGATCATCAGGGGAATCGTGTTTTCCATCTGTAAGGCAGCAGGAGAGACGTAGAGTATTAAAGCTCATCACTTATGAAAGGACTTGCTGGGCTTCTCATTCTGTCGACTTGCCCCACTCAGACCGTCTTCTCGCTTGTCTGACTCTTGTAGCTTGATCCTCTCTCATGTGGGTGTTTATCGTGTGAATTCATCGTCTTTTTTTACCCTCACAAAAATGTCAGACTGTATAGAATTGCATACAGGACAGTTGTAGTTCCCACATGGTCCAAATGCTTCACCAACATTAAGCAGATTAGCTGAGTTTGTTCCGTCCTATTTAACCTTTTGAAAAATAAGATTGACAAATACAAATATGATGAATATCTAATGTTGTGGAAGAATATACTTCATCTGAATCTATATATTCACGTACTAAAAATAAATATCTAATGCTACTAGTTAGTGATATCTTCTAACCTTGATTTACACGTCCTCAGTTTCTAAATATACTCAGCCAAGGAACTGATGGTGTCAGATTCCAGCGAAGGTTTACTTGCTGGTCAAATCAGCTGTTTGTCAGCTGATCTCGACTCTGAATCCATTGTCCACACATGCACACGTGCACACTTATCCTTACAAAACAGATAGACTTTGCCCTGCACATTTCTTCATATCCTTACTGTCAACGCACTGTGGAATCCAGGGAAAAGGGGGTTGAAAAGTTCCGTCCAGCTTCTCGTGTGCACGTGTGTTTCACATAACTTCACTCTCAGATTAACAAGGTACTGGTCACGCCATCAAACAGTTTACTCGATGTTCTGCATCATCCCTTTTTCTATTTTCTGACTTTTTGCTGTTCCTTTTGTATTTGACTGTTGCACATTGTCACCAGGATCATTTGAGCCCTCCGCAAAATGTATTTGCCATGTGAGTGACACCACCACCACAGCATGTGACAGGGAAAGAGGTTATGCTTTCACTCCAAGCCTGACGAGCCTGCCTGGCCAGGAGGAGCATGTGACCTCAACAGGTACTGTTGCCATATGATTTTACATGGAACATAATGTGTGTTTATTGTGGTGTGATTTTCATTGTTATTCTTTCCCTGACTTGAACGTCAACCCTTTTTCAGGTCATGATCCAGATTTTGCACCAGACCTCTTTCAAAAAAAAAAATCCATGTGTATTGTGTGTATTGTGTATTTTTCATCAGCGTAAAAAGGAATTGAGCTAAATCCTGTCATGCATGGTAAATCTAATCTGCTTGCAGTGACTGTGGTCTAATGAGATGACAAATGCACTCGCTTACAATTGCAAAGTGTTGCTTTTTTTTCTATTTGACTGGACAAATAGATTATTCTGTCTGGTAAAGATGTGGTGAGAGTTTTAACATTTTAATGCCTGAAAATCTCCCACCTGACATTAGGATTCTAACATCTGAAATATACGTTTATAATCCAGCTACAAATACAATTACACTCGGTCAAAAACATAAACAAGCTGTAGTAGTACTTCATGCAGTGCAACAAATAGTCAGCATAGTGTTTTATTGTGATTGTTAGAGTGTCTGAACTGTGAACCGATACAGTAATGTAGACTGAAATGAACTTTAATCACAGAAGGAAAGAAACATTGAAACAGAAAGTCAGAGGCTTACTCACTTAAACTAGACAAAAGTATTTGGACACATGAACATTACAACCACTTGTTGAACTTCTCATTCTGAACTCAGGAATTTTTATTCCCAAAGGTTTAGAACCAGCACACAGACATTTGCTCTCATTCAGTTCATCCAGGCTGTTGTTGGGGCTGAGTCAGTGAAATCCTTATACTCTAACTAGGTAAGACATTTATTTACTGTATAAACTTTGTGAACATGCAGTATAAAAGAGCAAAGTCCTTCCTCAAAGCAAAGTTGATCTAAATTATCATTGTATGTTGTAGTGTTCTGAATAACTTAACTTTGATGAACTACCTCACTCTAAGAGTATGCAGAGATAAGTTGTGCTGAAAGAATTCAGATTCTTTCCATCGAAAATATTTCATAAAAGTATGTACAGTTTACTTATAAAAATATATTTTTTCATGAATGTAGTGGAGTAAAGTGCAAGTATACCTAAATATTCTACCTTATGACTTCAGTAAATATACCTCACTGACAAAAAAAAGTGGACAGCTTGTCTAGCCATATGAGGTAATTACAGCCTTTTACTGTGGTAGTTTCTTATCGATCTCAGTGTGTGCAGCCGTCAGGTTTCTTTTAAATAAAGAAAATGTACGTTTAAATTAGCAAAGCGACTCTTATTTGCTCATTAGGAATATATAACTTTGCGAACAGTTGGGTCGACAATAACTTACATCAGAAATTACGTCTCACAAACCTGTCATATCAGCCTACGTGGCAGACCGACCTGTAGGCAGGTGAAATCACCAATAATTCATTTCTTGGCTTGCAAGTTCACATTTCTCCCTAGAGTTGAAAGCTGTGCAGATTAAGATGGACTCTCTGAAGAAGGTCCAGAGGAGGAGGAAGGATATGGCGCCAACAGCCGCCCCTGACGGTGGCTACGCCTGGTTCATCTTGCTCTCCTGCTTCCTGGTCTTTGGACTGACCTTTGGGGTCATTAAGTCGTTTGGTGTCTTCTATGTCGAAATACAGCAATACTTTGAAACCACAGCAACAGGAACATCATGGATCACCTCTATTGCTGTGGCAACCATTCACGTTGCAGGTATTATTAACCCTCTCTTCTAATTGTGTAGGTTCGCAACTTTAAAATGTAATTTATTCAATAGATGTATAGAAAAATATTCCATTGTTAAATTAAAATCCCATCTCTCTTTTTGACCATGATCCTTTAGATGACTCTGCACAAACACAGGCTTATTCAGGTTCTGACCACCAGGTGGCTCTCTCTCATACATTTAGATTAAAAAAACGTTAAACCCCAGATTCTCTCTTTTGTAATCACACAAAAAACTGTTGGTTAAATAATATAAAATAGCTTTTTTAATCTCCAGTATTTTCCTGGGGCTAGTTAAATAAATTACTGTCTGCATCAGACAGTAAGTGACACTTGGATTAATTTTAAAACTGCTAAATCTCTTTAAGTCCTACATGGTATAACGTAAAGTCTTCACTGAGAACATTGAGAAGACAGGATTATATGTCAAGAGAAAATCATCATTTTGAGAATATATATTGTGTGTGGAGTTCTTAATGTACAGTACATTGTGGTCGTGTTACCCTTGTGTATATATATGCTGAATAGGATTATGTCCTGTGTGTCCCTCTGCAGCTCCTGTAGCTTCTGCTCTGAGTGCCCGCTGCAGCCATCGCTCTGTAGTTATAACGGGTGGACTGATCTGCAGCTTAGGAGTCATGATTGGGGCTTTTGCTAATAATGTGATTGAACTCTACTTAACAGTGGGGTTCTTGAATGGTAAGGTGTTTGATGCAGACATGCAACACAAGTATAACCGTGACCCCAAAATATGCACACAAAATGTAATATTTACCAGAGTCCTTTGCTGTAGGTCTTGGGTATGCTTTAACCTGGACCCCCACAGTGACCATGTTGGGCTTGTACTTTGAGAGGAGGCGTCCGATGGCGAACGCCTTGGCCAGCACTGGGGAGTGCATCCTTACCTTCATCCTCACACCTCTGTTCCAGCTGCTGATTGACACCTACTCCTGGAGGGGGGCTTTGCTGATCCTGGGGGCTTTGCAGCTTAACTTGTGCATGTGTGGGATGCTACTGAGGCCCCTAAGAGCCACCGCATATGGGACTCGTGTCAATGAGGTCAAAGCAGTAGAGACAGAGGAGCTCAGAATATCTGATGGTTCTGATCAGAGCACAGTCAAGGTTTGTCTTGAAGACCCAGAGGAGATCACTAATTCAAAAGACTCAAAGACAGCTGATTTAAGGACCAAAATCCTGCGCTACGTAGATTATACCCTCATCGCTAATGCTCAGTTCATGGTCTACTCAATGTTTGGGGTGTTTGCTGCTCTGGGTTTCTTTGCCCCAGCTTTGTTCCTGGTCCCTTATGCTCGCAGTAAAGGAATCGAAGAATACCAGGCGGCTGCGCTCATGTCCATCTCTGCAGTGCTGGATGTGTTCGGAAGGGTGTTCTTTGGCTGGGTGGCAAACCTGAGACTGGTGGAGACGGTATGTTTAGTTCCTTTACCCAATCCTTCCACCAAGTTTTATTTAAATCTGTTCAGTAACTTTGCCTAAAGGGGCTGACTTTAAAATCAGATACATTCAGATTATTATCTTAAAGTCAGAAAATCAGAAAAACACAGATGAAAACAAATTTCACAAAATGTCCAACAGCTCTTTCTAAGAAGCAGCATATTGTCTGAAAGGGTGCAGAGGAAGATGTCAAGGTCGTCTCCCTGCAGCAGCTGATGCATGTTTGCTGTGTTTTTGTTGCCACCAGGTGCAACAGCTGACGGCTACAGTGATTCTGCTGGGTTCTGTGCTGCTCCTCTGCCCACTGGCCTCCTCGTTTCCTGAGCTGGCTGCTTTCAGCGCGGCTTACGGGCTCGTGTACGGCGCCACGGTCTCCATCCACATCACCGTCCTGGCTGAGGTTGTGGGTGTCCGCAGGTTCGGCAGCGCGCTGGGGTTTTTCATGCTCATACGCAGCAGCGGAGGCCTGCTTGGACCGCCCATCGCTGGTGAGTAAGAAAGATTCCTTGCCAAGTACACAGTGTACCTGCTGTGCATGTATGAGATGGATTTCAGCTTTGACGTTTGTTGTTCCCTGTGATTCATGTTAACTGGCTGTGATAGTGAGAAAAATGTTGCAGAAAGCTGGACAGAGTTGATCAGATTATTGTTTAATTATGTTCATTTCTGTCAGTGGAGCTTTATTAAAAACCGAAAATCATTACCTCAAGGTTACAGGATCGTTCTCTATTCTTCCACAACATTAAATCACACACAATGGATGTGCTTATACACCGTTCTATATTGTAACTCCAGCCCACTGAGCCCATTCATTGGATGTTAGATTTTCATACCTGCCTGACATGCAGCACCACCCTTCAACTAATCATGGATTTTGTTGATGGTCCATCCCATAGGATAGAGAAGTTTAATACTGAAGTGCAGCTATGCAGAAATGAGAAAAACCATGATGCAGTATGGTTGTGTTAATTTCATGGCTGATCGCAGATTCCTCTCTTTTCCCTTCAAATTAACTTTCCATTCTGCTACTTGAGACATTTGTCACTAACTCACACACTATGATGCAACAGCTGTAGTAACAGTGACAAATCAAACATGTGGAAAAACGGGAAAAACATGTTGTAAATGCCAAATAGATTTTTTTTTTGATCTCTTTAAAGCAACAATGACTGCTTTTGTGGCCAATTAGTATTACATTACAAAGCTGATATGAAAACAAACACATTCAGCAGGTATGGAGTTTGTGTCAGCCTGATGAATGTAAGCCCATTATTCACTCTCCTCTCAGCTACATTTGCTTTTCGCCAACTCCTGAGAGCAGCCAGACTCTGTAGCTCCTAAATACTCCTCAGTGTTCAACAGACGGTCCCTAAAGTTGCCTGCTGGCTGTACAGTGCTGGGCAAAATGAGCACAGTGTGTTTTTAAATATACTTTTACTGAAAACAGCTGCCTGCCGATACTGAAAACAATGCTCCTTAGGGGTTTCACATTTAAGTTAAATTAAACCAAAGCAATCAGCTGAAAGACGATAAATTGCTCAGTAGATCTGAAGGAAAGTGAAGTAATATTTCTCTGTGGGCTCATTACATGAACTGTATATAAAGATGACAACGTGTCTCCACTTCCTCCCACTATCCAAAAATAAAACCTCCCTGTTACCTAATTATACCTGATTAAAACTTACTTGGGAAAATAATCCAGTTGAGCAAACATCAGTGAGATCAGGACTAACTGAAATGACAGAAATCATCTTTCAGGAGGAGGCAGGGTTTTTGACCGGTACTGCAACCAGCCACCAGGGGGCCACTAAGATTCTTTGGTTTCACTTTTGGGGAGTCATCGAATCTTTGTATACAGTCACTGATAAATACAATATACAGCATGGGCTGATGGGAAAATTATAGTTTTGCAGGTATATAAAATCAATCCATTCAATAATTGTTGATAAAAACCACAAAATGTCAATAGTTCATCACACAAAGGCAACTTTCACTCACACACACTTGTTTGATAGAAATATTGATTATATCAGCTTTAAGTCACAGTAAGATACACAACAAAGACAGAAAACATGCAAAATAATATCAGCATCTTCTTCACATCACCCACATCTTACTATTACAAGGTAAAAATGTCTGTCTGCTTTTCATAATGTACGTAATTTGTCACCTTTGTGGTTCCTAAAGGTATAAATGAATGATGAGAGTGTAGGTGTAATATTTTATTCTCCTTTGTAAATGTAACATTTGAAGACGTCTCAAACTAAGTGGAGACGTTTTGGCAGCAGCTCGAAAGTGTCTCAAATGTGTCATCTACTTAAGCAGTGCGTTGGCTGTCGTCTTCATTTATCCATCCTCTTGTGAAAAGCAGAAATAGCCACTCAGTAAAATGACACACACAAAGTAAGGGAACAAAAAGTTTTCCTGTCTTCCATCGACGCAAACTGCAGCAGCACCACCCACAGCTCTGCCCTCCAAACCATTGAAGTAATGACACACAACACTAGAGGTAAATACAGCCTGAAAAAATATTCTTTGACTTTGGCACCCAGACTCGTCCACGGAGCGCTCTGCCTCTGAGCACAGCCAGGAGTCAATCAGCTGGGGAGGACCTTTCCTGCCGAGTGGGGAATTATGGATTTTGTAAGAAGCTGTTGGAGAAACACAAAACTGGGAATAAGGGCAATTAGAGTTTTTGAAGTGTGACAGGCAGCTTTTCCTTTCCTCTGCAGGACATTTAAATCAAAGAGCTTTGACTTTACTTTTAGACTTGTCTGTTGTCTCGTGCCTCTGAGTCTACGACAGCCAGGGTTTTTGGGTCGTCCATCAGTCTTTCTTCAAACTTGGTAAAATGTTCACTTGGATTCACAGATGAACTGATTAGATCTTGATAGTGAAAGGTCAGTGTGACCTCACCAAGCATGTGTTTGGTTTAGTGAATGTAATAGCTCATAAATATCTCAAGGGAATTTCTTAAAATTTTATAAAAAATGTTCACATGGACTCAAAGAAGATTCTTGAGAACATGCAACATCAATTACACCCGAGAAGAGTCATCATATCTGACACAAACCTTCACTTGGACTCAAGAGTGACGTGCTTACAATTTGGAGGTCAAAGGTCAAGGTAGCTGTGACCTTACAAAACAATTTTTTTGCCTTGTGAATAAAAATAAGAAGGTCTCAAGAGAATCTTTTCAAATTTGGCACAAATGTTCACGTAAACTCAGGGATTCATTGGTTGGATTTGGGTGTCAAAGGTCAAAAGTAAAAGTCACGATGGCCTCACAAAACGACGATATGTCAAGTCTCTATGGAATTTAAAAATGTTTTAACCACTTTGCTCTTGGACTGAGAGATTCATTGATCCCATTTCACTTGTCAAAGGTCAAAAGTCCTATAGATCTCATATAGATCTGGAAAAAATGATGTATACACCCTAACTGAGGTATTTCTAGTTTATTATAAATAAAGAGAGGATCATTGACACTGACTTAGCTTAGAAAACACAAACAAATACTTTCCATTCCCTAGCCAGTCCTTCAAACCGTAATTTCTCATTTGCCATTTAACGTCTCCATTAGCGTAACAAGTTCTTGAAAACCATCCCATTTAGATTAAAGTGATCTCACCACATGTAAATGTTAAATTAGAGAAAATGCTGAAGGCTGACGCTGCCCTCAAATCAAGTTAAGTGCTAATTGAGGTAAAGTAGATACAAAAGTAGCCTGTGGTGTCCTATTTATAACTTAAGATGGTCCCACTGACACAGAGGCTATTTCTATCTTATTTACTGTACCGTTCAGTACTTTGAGCACTTTGAAGAGAGTTGATGGATGTTGAAGATGCATCAAAGAGTTCTAATTATGTTTCCTTCACGGGAGGAAAGTCCTGGTATTACCGTCTTAGGAAGAAATTAATTTTCACACAACCCTCTTCTTCTTATCTCTGCGTCGGTCTTTTACCGTGTGTGCGTAACTCTGATATTTAATGAAGCCACAATAAAAACCTAATTGGGATATTTCTGTGTTTTGGCCACTATGGGTCAGAGACTATGTCAAAGTTGCAATGTGTACTTTTCATTTCAGGATACTTCATTGATAAGATGGGGAATTACGGGACGGGCTTCATTATGGCGGGAGTGGCTCTCATCGTCTCTGCCCTGTTCCTGCTTCTCCTCCATCAGATGACCCGCAGGGGTCAAAGGTCAACGAAGATGCAAACGGACAAAATGGGACAAAGCCTCGGAGATGAAGTCAAAGATCTGAGCATAGATGGAGAAATAGTCTCTGATGCTGATGGATGCGGAGGTAAATCTCAAGATCAACATCAAACATTTAAAAATTGTAAAGACTGAGGCAGCGAGAGGTGTGAAAAACAATCATCTGCTGGATCAAACGGGTCTTTGGAGTCATCAAGTGTCTAGGTGATGACTCGATGGATTGAGGTGAGCATCTCTGTCTATAACACAGACCACAGACAGTGTGAGCATGCAGGGAATGATGAAACTGATAAAACACTTTGCGGTAGATCTGTCCTGTTTGTTATCAGTGTTCAAACACTGAAGAGGAAATATTAGGGTGGGGAGATAAGAGGAGCTTTTTTATTGTTTTGAGCTTTACTTCTATGATTTGTTGGGTGGGTGCATTATACAGTATGTGTGTGTATAACATCACAAATTCAGAAGTGACATAAAAGCGTTTTTTATTGTCATTTATTACATGTTTTATGAATGAGTGAATGCTTCCTTACTCACTGAAAATGTGACTATGGCTCCCCCCAGTGACAAGATAACGATGTTGCGTTGGCAGCTCGCACAGCTTCAGGGCTGAGCTGCAACATGTAGATAAACGCACATATTACAACACAGGAAAGATCAGAGAATTCACAGATAGAAACTGAATTAAGTTGCTGAATCAGTTGATTTGGTCAATTACTAAGCAAATGTATGAACCCTTCTCCTTTAAGTTTACAGGCTAATTTGAATCAGCCTCAAAAGTGAACTGAAGTGTTAAATTAAACAACAAACTAGGTTGTGGTTCATTGAACTTCTCTCCAGCTTATGTCCCAGTAGTGTAGCCTGAAACCGAGTGAGAATCTGCTGCAGAATGTTTGGTATGTGCAACCATTGAGCAAACAAGCTTTCATACCGCAGGACGAACGAGAGGCCCGATACACATCTTAAACCTGCTGCAACGCAAATATAACAAGAATAAATAAACATGTGATCCTCCATAAATCTGAAATAACAAACTCCAAACCGAGGTTTACAAACAGTGGCCCACACTCACACACATACACACACACACACATGCCAAAGGAAAGAGACTGCAGACTAGAAAACTTACCACAACAATAGAACTGATAAAAAAAACACAATGGTTTCATCTGCCAGAGAAGAACAAAGACATAATCCATGTTTCATAGAAACTCTACATGAAAACCAAACACACACACAGCATGCAGTGGTCGACTGGAGAGACAAGAGGCCTCCTATTATTTGTGATACACTGCCAGGATCAAAATTATCTAAGGATTTCCAATCCAGTGAAAATCTCACTGTCTCCTGTTACTTGATGACATGAGGAAGTTTGATCTTTTAATTGCACGTCACTCTGTCTGAAATCTCTAAACCCATATTTACACAGTCTCTGTACATAGGAGGGAAAACAAGTCCGACCGAGCAATAGACAAAACATGGATACGAGGAGATACACGCCATTTTATTTATTGAGATTATTGAGGGAATACTGACTGTGAATTGAAGATGAGTTTTCTTCTTTAGCTTGAAGTACTCTCCACCAAGTTGATGTATCAAGTTCAATAGACTCATCGTGAGGAGAGCTCCCTTGTCTGTGAAAACATGATGTGTTCTTCAGCTCTGGAGGGAGATTTGCAAAGTATGAGAAAATAAATGAAAGAGACAGGAGCTGAAACCAACTGTTTCAGACAGAGGCTGAAATGAGGAGCTGCAGCAATGGACAGTAATGCTGAAGCTGAATATTGACAATTCACTTAAGTTCTAAATCACTGGAGCACCATAAGAACATAGAAGTATCTCAAAAGTTGATGTGTTGGCTTTTTAAAAAGATGCTGACTGAGGATTTCTTTGTCACACTATGTTGTTTGTTTCTGTACAAAGAGCTAATGAACAGAGACCATGTGCTTTGACTTAACTTTGAGCAACTAAGTGGGACAACTTCAGTTCTCACCCGGCCCCCAATCTTTTGCCCTCGTGTTTGTGAGCGTGGAGCAGCAGGGATAAGGGACTGTCTACATTTTGCCCCGTCAACATCAACTCCAATAAAGCAGAAAGCGCAGGAAGAGCTTTGAAGTCGGACAGGACTCAATGAAACGCCTCCCAGTCACTTTGACCCCACAGCGGAACCCGTCGGCACAGAGTTGCTATAGAAATAGCTGAAATAGTTTTAGAGTTTTTTCTTTTTAAATTTCTTTTTTCAAGTCAACCCTGCTTCAAGAGGTCATGTTGAGGAATGTCACACAGCTACCTGACTTCAAAGTGTTCCGTGGTAGTTCTACAAAGAGAAGAGGTGACGTGACAAGAAGAAATGCGGAGGGTAAGAGAGAGGAGAGGGTGAATGATAGCTACATGTGGTGGAGGAGAAACCAGCTGAGAAAAAGTTTGGAGAGGAGAAAAAAAAAACAAAAAGGGAAACTTAAAACTAAAGAGGAGCACAAGAGGGGACAGGGACTGTCGGCGAAGGGAAAAGATAAGAGCTGAGAAGAGAAGGAAGATAAGGACATTTACAGAAATGAAGCAACGACTGTATATACAGCACAGAGAGTTCAGTTACTGTTCAGGTTAGAGCCGATAGAGGAGAAAAGATAATGATACAGGAATGAAGTGGTCACAACCCTTCATGCAGCAGAGATGGGTCATGGCTTTAACCACCTAGCTGAGGAGAAAAGCAGAGAATGAGGAATGATTAGTGTAGCTACAGGGGGTTTGGCTTAATGAGCATGACTAACGTAAATAACAGACCCACACAATTGCTCCAGCATGAAACAGGTTATTTCTTAAAACACGGACAGATACGTGAGCTGAGCTGATTCTGAGAATGTAGATGATTTTTGCTTCACAGAATCCACAGCTTCAGCCTCCGAACCACTGAACTCATCCATTCAACAAATCCTTTCATTTCACCAGTTATTCATATTCTTTCTGATTTTAAAGTTACAGGAAAACCGTGGAGAGAGAGAGCAGACGGATGTTTGGTCTACACACGAAGCTTCTTTTTGTCATTCAGCCCTTTATCTGCTGATCTCCATTTTGTCTGTACTGTTCCGTTCTTTTGCCAGCCCGCACCTTTAAACAGCTGTCCCACTTTAACTCATCTCGGCCATTGTGGTGCTGCATCTCACGAACACTCGGAAAGACAAGAATGCTTCACATTTCAGACATAGCTGAAGATTCACAGCATCAGTTTATGTTACCAGAGATGGAAACTTTCAATCTTCTTGTTGTTCTGTTTTGTTAATAGTTCAGTAAAGTCAGGCAGATGGTCCTACTCCTTCTCTTCTTGTCCCTTTGCAGTTAAATAAATCCACAACACAATTTTCATATACGTGTCAATACTGCATGTGTCATTCACACTGTACAAACACGTCAAACGCACTCACTGACTAAAACAAGCATTAAACCAGAGATTTATTTGCCTTCTTCAGCTGCTGGAGGTTTATATTCTATCAGACCAACATTAAAACCAAATGCTGGGACGCAGCTACTGCTCGCTGAACTTTTAAAATGTGACAGTGACACAGAGCAAAGGCCATTTTTATTGCTGTTGAAATACAAAACATTAAAAAGGAGAACATTCATTTTGAATTAGCTGCTTGAGTCAAGTGCTTTGAAGACTTTAGGTAAGAACTATCATGATGTGAATCCCTTAATGGAAGAAATCACAGTAAAATACAGGCAGAATCTAGGATTGTGTGTCTGAACATTTTTACAACCTCGAAGTGCAACTTTCACTCCTCTCCAAATCCAGCACCAAGCACACCCGACCCCTGACCCCACATACTGACCTCTGACCCTGGCTGACAGTTCTGATTTGGAATGAATAGCTTTGACAGACTCCCGTTTCAGGCTTCAGCACATTGACACAAGAGCGGCCCACCAGAGCGTCGTGCTAATAAACATTAAAGTGACAATAAAGTGATAAATGCTGTGCACCTGGTTAGATCGTTTTTATCCACACTAGCGATGTGTCTGTCCATTACTTTGGTCTAAACTGAAATATGTTAACATTGTCAACAAATTTGGTTCAGATGCTCATGTTCCCCTCGGCGCAAAATTTAAAGGCACCATAATTAGGTTCAAACTTTAATTTGTCTAATAGTTTGGTTTATGACGTAGCATTATATTAAACTGTTCACATCAGCTGTGTTTAGTTAGTTAGTAAATGTTTGAATGTCACCCCTGTTGGTTTTTCCCAACGAAAGCTCAGAGAAGAAGCTTTTTATATTTTTTAGTGGATAGTAAGTTGTAACATGAGCTGTATTTCATTGTAATTTATCTGATGAAAATGTTAATATTCTGAACAAGGTCATCTTTTCCCTCAGTTTTGATTGCGAATATTACGTGATCCGTTTGCTATCTTGCTAAATTGTTAGCCAAAAGGATTGACAACGGTGGCACCTGTATTTTCGCATGTGTTTAATTTGCAGTGTGTTGAGCTCTCTCAGCCACCGGGCCTAAGGCTGAGCAGCAGTTTCCTCAAAATGTCTTCACTTGAACTCTTGGAGCACATCACATTCGTTACTTGTCGAAAACATGATCTTACTCAGGCGAGTGACTTTACTTTGAGGCTAGCTAGCATGCTAACTTGCTAAACTATGGTTGGTAACATAGTGAATTGTATATCTGCTTAATGTTGTATCACATGTTAGCATGGTCAACAATTCGCATCACTGACTGTTCTGCAGACTAAAACCACAACTCTCCTATTCACGCCAGAAATAAATGACAGGAACGACTGTTATCAATCACAGCTGACATGCATACAGTAAGTTTATACTGTACAAACATACACACCGAATACATGTTTTGGATACATTGCACAGACAAAAACCGCAGCCTGTCCACACAAACGACTGTGATTACATTTGGGTTTGTCGTCTAAACTCACATATTCAATCCAGATGCACGGGCTGAACTTCATTATGAAATGTTTGGGAGGTTTTCCCATTCGATGTATAAAATCATACTTACTGTGCTCGTATAATCATCTCATCTCTGGACACCTGCCAACCATTACACCACGAATCAGGAATTAATCTTGACCATCAGAGAGTGGAAACGTGTCAGAACCGCTCCCTGAGATTGTCTGACACTCGAAAGTGCATCAGAGATGAGAGGAATCATTGTTTATGGAGTCTTAAATAGGATTTCTGGATTCACACTTTCCTCTCAGTCATAGCTGCACAAATAGATGCTGTGTCAAGACCAAATGTCACATCCTGTTCCGCTGTTTGTGCATCATTTCACATGCAGGGAGTTACAGTACAGAGTGTGTTATAAATTCTTGTGACGGTAGGGTGAGGTGTCTGAACTTTTCAAACCCTATTTTCCTCAAACATGCAGTTGTTTACTTTATATTATGTATACAGAACATTCCTGATACTCAGAGGAAGCAGGATATGGTCGATGTATGTATAAATGTGTTTGGGAATATTAGCACAGTGTCTTCTGTTAGAAACTGTGCAGCTGCATTTTCCTAGTAAGAAATGAAGACAGTTCAGGGTGTGGCGTAGTTTATGATAAGAGACAGAGCTGAATACTGATTTTATTATTCTCTGTTCGACCAAACCACGCCACATATTTCTGCCCCTGTACTCGTTCTAATAGATGCAGTAGTCGATGTTTCCTCTCTCATGAAGAATGATGCTGTATCTTCAATAAAGTCATGTCATTTCTAGTCAAACACATGTTGATTATGCAAGAAGGTCCTAATCAATATGCTCACATGGTCCATAAGTATGAAATATCTTTTTAATAATACCAGAAATCTGTTTGTGGCTCACATATCTGGTGAGGGCTGTGTGGATTCTTGCTGCGGTTCTATTACTGCAGGTCACTTTTCCACAGGTCAAACAAACAGCCCAGTCCAAACAGGCAGGTTTAGAACAGGTACAGGAAGCTAAGCTATGCAGTTGCAAATGATGATTGCTATTTCATGAATTAAATAATGCATTTTTCTATGCTTCTATATGGGATTTGATAATCAAGAACCCCAACAAAACTCATTATACCAGATACATTTGCCAGAAACATATTAGTCTTCATCCTACTGCTTTTGACATCAAAAATAATTAACTGTAGAGACATTTCAAAACGTCAAATGTCGCATTGTTTGTTTACTGCAGATGATAAAATCACCAGTTAGAGACATTTGTCCATCTTTGTCAAATACAGAGAATTCCAAATGGGAAATTTCCAACCATTATTAGTGTCGTATGTGCAGAGGCTTGACAGGCAAATCACCAGTAATGGGAAGTTACTAACTGGGTCATTTCCAAAGTATTTAATGCACCTCTGCATCTGCTAAACTGCTTTCTAACCCCAGTCTTTCTCACACAATCTTTTACCCAATACCTCTATATACCGGGTGCCCCCCCCCCCCTGTTTCCTCTCTCCCTTTTCTCTCACTCTCTCTTTGCTCTGCCTTTTGTGTAGGTGAAGCCGGGGCCTCCCAGTGACATAAGCCCTGCTCCTGTAAAACTAATAATGACTGAGATTTGTGCAGGCTTGGCATTCTTTCTCCCTTTCAATGCAAGACACGAGGAATGGAGGGACGGGAAGGAGAGGAAGGTTTTGTGGTAAGGTGGCAGGGGTGAGAGAAGGGGGGAGACATTAAAAAGAATGAGAAGATGGGGAGAAAGAGAGATAGAGAGGGCGCCCCCCATCCCTGAAACACACCACATGCTTTCTCTCTTCAAGGGTCAGCAACAGTGAAATCACACTGCAAATATACAGACAGAGGAGTTCACACACAGGGACACACACATTCAGGTGCGGTCGAGTCCTCTCGGTCACGCTGTATTGTTTTAAATCAGTCATATTCATCTGGAATGTAAACACGGATGTCGGACTCTGCATGCAGCCCATGCTGGAGCTGTGGGCAAACAGTCAAATATTTTCAAAACCTCGCACTTGTGTTTCTCCCAAGCCGCACACCAACAGAACATGTGAAGCCAAGCTACAGAATATGAAACACGTCCCAAACACACGATGGCCAAACTCTGCAAAGATCCCCAGATGTGCCGTGGGATGCAAGGGGAGAGGTCTCGCACACACTCTGCCCTCTCTAATGCTCTCCCCTCCCTCCTTTCACGCCCCCCCCCTCCTCTCCCCCCCTCTTCCGAGAGACATGTGCGCACGCCATGCCAGCAGACAGTTCCAGCTCTCAGGAACTGATGCACAAACAGCTGCCGTTTCTCCTCCTTCCCTCCTTCTCTCGCTCCATTAACTTTTCTCCTCTTCATTTCTTTACCCCCCCCCCTTCACCACACTGCCCTGCATTCGTCCTCTCTGTACTTTTCCCCTTCCTTCCCTCTAACTCTGTCATTCGGCCCTGCACTTTTCCTCAGGCAGATATAAAGGCAGGTCCTGTCGAAAGGGAGAGAGGGCTTGTGTAATCTCTGGCTGCACATGAGCACCGGGGAGAGTTATTGCCTCAGCTGGAAAAAGGACCGTGAAAGAAGCAGAGGAGAAACTAACACCGGATAAGAAGAAGGAATAACTCTGGAAGACAGGAAGGGAGGAGAAAGAAGAGGGGGCACTGAGAGTTTCAAGTTGGGGGTGCAGGACAGAGACCATGCCGGGGTCCATGCTGCTGTTGCTGATGTCCCTGTTGGTCCTGTCCACAGGAAGTGATGCCAGAAGAATCAGGAAAAGAGGACTCAACCAAAAGGTGGGGCTGCTTTAACCTCACCTTTGACTTTAGGACATGTGCACATTATGATGAGTGTGTGTGGCTTTCTCCTCCATCTCTTTCTTGTGGCTCTCACAGCCGCGAAAGTGGATGTGGGCGAAAAGCTCAGAGTGTTTCGGTACAATAGCGGCTCTGTTACAGAGCTGGTTTCACACTGTGGGAGCAGTTTTGTGGCCGAGGTGAGAGGTGGTCAAGTCGAGTTGACGTCAGAAGTGTGGAAGTTCTGTGATGAAAAGAAAAATGGCGTAAATCACCTAGTGCATTCATTCAGGTGCTGTACTTAAAGGAAAAGCATTCTGGGAAATAGTGTTTAGCATAAAGACTAGGAACAGTGGAAGCAGGGCTTGGAAATACATTTTACCTACCAACACAAAATACGATATTATCTTTTCTTTGTTTAATTTTTACAAAAAGTTTTACGGAAGTTTTGAGCCAAATATTTCTTGACGCTACGACTTCTGAACCTAAACAACTTTTCTTTTTTTACACTTTTAGTTTTTAGGCGTAATTAACAAATACAAACAGACCTTCTGTTTTCCTGTCTCCAGCCTTTAAGACAAGTTAGCTAGCAGCTAGCTGTAGCCTCATATTTAACACAGCTATATATGTTATGTCGGTACTTGGTCCTGCTTTTGGCATCATATCGGAATATCTATAATTTAACTTTTCAGCTTTTTCCATCCTCTTTTTTTTAAATATGCGGACTAAGATTTTACAAACAAAACTTTAGATCACTTTTTAAAGCTTTGATAAACAAAAACAATGCTGACGTAGCTGGGGGATCATTTCGATGCAGTTGTACAGTTTCCTGGTAGCACTTTTAATTGGTTGATTATCTTCTGTCTATCTTTCTCTTGCTTGTAGAGGATCGTAACTGTCGACAACAGTTTGGGTGTGAAACATGAAAAATCCACATGAACAGAAGAAGTTTTTGTTGTTTTTTATTTGATGAAGCACCAAAGTTGTAGTTTGCAACAGGTTGGATCAAGTCAATGATTTCAAGTTTCCATATGAGTAACTGAGCAGCACACTGGACGTCCAGCCTCAGTCTGTGTGTGTTTGTGGTGGATAATTAGGGCAGGAACTGAACTTGCAGACCGGGCCCCTGCTTGTTAACTCAGCTCAATGTGGCTGATTGATCATTTCTAACAAGGGCTCGATGTAGCGTGCTGCCTTCTCTTGCCCTTTTTCCCCCTCATGCTCTCTCTCATGAGTTCTGCCCTTATGCGCCCTTCTCGCTCTCGTTCTCAGCCTTTATCTCTCCTCTCTCTCATATGATGGAGTTACCCTTCCACCCTCTCTCTTGCCTGCTTTCTTTTCCCCCTCTCTCAGTATATCCCCCCATGTTTTCCCTCTTTCAAATCTCCCTTCTCTCGTCTCCTCGTGCTCCCAGGATGGGCCAAAAGCACCGTCTCACTGGACTCTGCTTCAAAGCTGCTGTAATTGGAACATGCTGACACGACCGTGCATATGGAGCTTGTCGCTTTCCCTCTGAACCTTTTCATCTCTGCATCTTTCCATCTTTCATTTTTTCTTATCCAGCTCCCACACATGCACAAACATGCACACACACACACACACACACACACTCACACACACACACACACCCTGAGCCTCATTCATATCACCGCAGATGTGCAGAAGGATAAATTATAGTCACTGAATATTCCACGTAGGCACTGCACTATGAAGTAAATGTCCTGAGAGGAGAAATCGTAAACAATCTGCAACAAACCCAGACCACCAACATGCTCACTACCTGTCCTGCTTTTATTTGTTCTTTGAATATGGATGATTTCACCAGATTTATTTACATTAACATGTATTTAATTCGAATTAGTGAAAACTTCTAGACGAGGCTGATGATGAAGACAATGTGGAAATACCCCAAATGCTTGATTAGAGACTTTGAGGATTTGTTACCTTAAATATTCTACAGATGTGGAAACCCCAAAGAGCTCATCTAAATTAAAAAGAACACATGAAAGAGATCAGTGACTTCTTTCACCATTTTCATTTGATATTTTGCTTTACTTGTGCTTGATAACATTGCAGAAAAGCAAACTGCAAGCATAAAAGCAATCCCCAGGTTAAATGTCAGAGAATTCACAAAGTCAAAATATAATGTGAAAGCTAGAAATGCACAATGGCACAGTATAAATGGAGAGAGAGAGAGAGAGAGAGAACGTCTGCTGCGACTGTAATGTGTATGCACGAGTGATGACATATTAATTTCTGTGTATGTTTCAGAAACACGTTAACGCCCAACATCTTACAATGTTAAAGAAAGAGGAAAATATTCAGTTGATCCCTTTACGCTCCTTGATTGAATGGGTTCTTTCTCTGGTCATGCTCCACCATTCCACAAGATTTAATGGAAATCAGATGAGTAGTTTTTAAGGAATTCTGCTGCGGACGGACGACAATCATTATCTGTATTTTAACTTTGGACTATTTTAACTTGTTTGATACTTCATTCGACCATATTGTGACTGTGACAGTGAATGTGTGTTTCTCTCTGCGTGTTTCTCTCCACTTTAGGAATATTCATCATATTTAGAAATAGGTTACAAATTCCCCCCCAAAATCTTAAGTTAACCAAATTGAAATCAAATTAAATTGAGTGTTGGCGTCTGCGTCTGTGTTTTGTCCAGTTGCCAATATTTTTTGTGATATGAAATCTAAAGTCTGTCTGTATTTCTTATTCTTTCAGCAGGTTTGCTCTTAACTTCTTTCAACAGATTTTAAAGTAAAGTTTTTTTCAGTGCAGGGTTCTGGTTGATGGTTTAGGGATCAGAGCCATGTCCACCTTCTCTTATCCAGACCTCTTCCTACCAAAAGGTTGAAAGGTCACCAGCAGCACTTTCCTCATTTCCTCTTTGTGTTTGACGGAGAAAATGTCAAACAGCACATATCATGGAATAGGGGGCTTTGGTTATATGAAGCAGGCATCAGAGGGAAGCTTGCAATCAAGAGAAACATGCCTCAGATGAACGCCCCAAGCTCCTGTGTGTGAAACTTTATTAACGTGGTAAATTCCTCCTGCTCAACAAATTAAACATCCCCCCTCTACACACACACACACACACACACTTACACACACATACACACACGCTGGGTGATTTAGCTGCCGTAACACACTCCAGCTCAGACCTGTCAGGGCGTGTCAGTGTACACGAACTGTGTAAGGCGACCATCATGATTCTGTAGACTTTCATTGATTTGATGTGAAGTGCACTGTTCTCACACCACCTGGTTTGAAGACAGGGACCCTGCAGATGCTCAGAAACATAAACACTCCCTGCTCTGGCTCTGGTCGGCTGTTTGACTGCTACATGAAACAAAAAAGTTTCTGACACTGCTTTAAGGCGGAGGGTAATTTGTAGCTCTTGAGGACCAGGGTTAGGTTTTTAAAAATGATTACTTTACTGAACATTATGACCCCTTGTGCTCTAAATTACAGACAAGGCAGCGTTTTGTGTCATTAATTAAATTGACTGGGAGTGAACATGACTATTTGATTGTAGCAGTTAGGAATAAGCACATATTAAATTGACGTGAATTATACAGCCTTCACTGCTTAATGTAGGAACTGTATTTTAATGCATGAGCAAAGAGTTTGCAGCCTTTAAGACTAAGAGTTGACAAATCCTGGGAATGTGTGACAAATCCAGACTTGGCAAGCATTGTCTGTGTAAAGGCCTCGTCACGCCAGCGTTTAAAACCACAACATTTTCGTGGGGATTCAGATTAAATCTAAGGGAATCACAGAAAATAGTGAATTTGCCTGTGGGGCCAAAGTAAATCCATGCAATGTTTGTGGATCAAGCTGAACTTTGGTGACATTGAAGCAACATTATGCAACAGTTTCAGAATCATTTTGATGGTACACTGACTTGTAATAGGGGGAATGGCCTCTTTCATTTCCACTCTGTGCCCCAAGCGCCTGTTCTTGCACGATGGTACTTTGGCGTTTCTAATTGAATAATAATCTGCAATTTAAACTTCCACAATCAGACTCAACAGATTCAAGAGAAATGCAAAACTGTAAATCAGTTAAAAAGAATTTTAAACTCAGCGTTTATCTCCGATAAGAAAAGAACATTTTAAGAACTCCAAACAGAATTGCGATGATGAGGAACATTTGGACACGTTTTACTTCAGTGAGTGGGACGATGCAGTCTAAACTCCAGACAAGTGATTGATAGGATTAGTTTTGTTTACATGGAAACCACTGGGAGCCTGATGGAATAAGTGTATTCTTGTTGCTGCAGAGGCTGCTGGTGCTCAGCAAAGTTACGGTCACAGTTGTTGCTTTACTCGTGATTTTATCTCACTGAAGGAAGCGTTACTGGCAGTGCTGACTTTTAAGGTGGAGGGAGAACTGTGGGAAGCTACCGAATATGAACTGTGCGACACCATCACCTGAACTTATTATCCTGTTAATGTTGAGAAAGCAAGTGTGTCGGCCTAGAGAGCTTTGTTTTCACTCTTTTTTTGATTTGAGAAAATGTTGAACAACATTCTAGAAACCTGCAAGTAATAGTTTTGTGAGCCAGTGTAATCCAGTGGACTAATCCCAGTCAGATGATGTGGTCAGCTGCACATTACTGGACTCACACTGGAGAAGTGTGACCTGCAGTAGGCACGCACACACACACACACACAGGTTTGAGCAGCTGTTCTTTGTATTGACTTCCACTCATTGTGGACAGCCTAAACAGACCCAACCTTTATGTTTTACTATACTGAAGTACCTGATCGTCTGACAGCGTGTTTCCCCGTCAGTCATCGACAGCTGATTTACAGGACGTCTGTTTCCCTCACAGCCGAGCCCGCCACGTCTCTATGCATCTACGCATCTGTCGATCTTTCTGTCAAAACTGAGTGCAGAGACAGGAAATGAGTCCTGACAATTTGAAAGCTAACCAGATGTGTCATGTGGGCTACTTCATTTAGCAGGAAATCTGTTGCTCTGCCTTGTTTATGTACATGTGCACAACCTTGACCTTGCAGTAATGTATGGGCATATGTCAGAGAATGGGTGTGTTTGTGTGTGTGGGTGTATCCTTGCACAAAGGAAGCAGAAAATCCCTGCATCTGTCTGAGATCTCTGCCTGGACCCATGAATGGCCTGATCTCAGAGCAGTTACAGGGTCTCCTGTGGCTTCTCCCCACATACTCCCCATAAAATCACAGAGCAAGAGACAAGGAAAGACCGACTGACAGAGAAAAAAGAGAAGTCGAGATAAACAGACAGTATCATGCCACACCAAAGAGATCAGAGGAAAAGGACGGGAAAAAAATCAAGGAGGGATGGTGACAGTGTTGTAGACAGAGACAGACAGATAGAGAGCGGGGGGGGGACATGCCCACAGACAGACATGAACATCACACACGGGCCCGCTGGCAGCGTCTCCACGGGAGAGCAGCATGGCAGACAGGAGTGTAAATAAACAATGTGGAACATCAGAGAGATGTTTGTGTGATAGCGCTTGTGACGCAGCCCTCGGTGGCACTGCTGGTGTACAAACACATGAAGTGGAGCCCAGAGAGTGAAGCAGAGTGGAATAGCAAAAGTACAGTGAACACACACCTCTGCAGAGTCATGTGAGTGAACACACAACACACTCACATAAACAGGAAGGGCACACTTGACCTTTTGTTGGAGACATTTGCAGGAGACGTTGAGAACCGATCGGATATGAGACAAGGGGAGACAGCCGTGTTCATTATGTCATTATCCAATCACAGCAGACTTTGCAGGGCTCATTCATAGATTTCATAGGAGCAGGAGACACTGTGAACGGCTGTGGCTCCACCGCTCACACGAAAGCCATAAATGAAGTCAATGACAGAGCTGCTCTGTAAAATGTAACTTAAATAAAATTGCAATATCTTCTCATAATCATGTTTATAATTAGTATTATTACTTGAAAAGCTTTACATGCTGGGATGTTTAGAAAACACGTCACTTCCTTTAGACTGTTCATTGCTGCAGCTCCTCTTTTCAGCCTCTGTCTGAAACACTTGATTTTAGCTCCTGTCTCTTTAAGCCTGATCTGTTTTGATTGATCAACTGCTTCTGGCACGTGCAGGAAATGTCAGCCACCGCTCTCACTACTCCTGGCTTTGTTATGGGAGTTCCAGACTAACGTGCATTAAGCAAGTCTCGAGTGCTTTTGCTTTCGATTTTTTACATTGCAGAATCTTAAGCAACGCACTAGAGGAAACAAACACGAAAAGTCTCCTGTAAGACCAACAAGCCTTGTGTCCTTGAAGTGATATTTTCACGCTGGAGTAGATTTTGGTTCAGTACCCTCAGACTACACCCTAAAACAACAACAACATTTATTTACACATAATTTCCGCATGAACCACTGCTTCACCTTTTCACTCAGAGCATCTGATGTTCCAGACATTCCAGCTATTTGGCATCAGTTCGATCAGCTCCAATATAAGAGAGGAAATATCCAGTCTGAGTATGTGAGAATATTGGATTTGTGTGCGAAGATGACATTGAAATATTTTTGTTTCATCAACCAGACACAGAGCGCCGCACGCGTTCATCTGGACGCGTTCATCTTTTTTTACATTAGTCCAGACTGAACAAAGTAAACACCTTTTGAGTTTTATGACAATTAAAGGTTACCATAGTTTCTTTTTCATGTTTGGAAGGAGAGGGGAGGTGAGGGGTGTTCAGCTGCAACATGCAATTTCAACACTAGATATCACAAATTTTTACACACTGTACCTTTAAATAGAAACAAAGCTCTTAAAACAATCTCAGAGTTACAGACTTATTCAAGAAATGAAACCCAAAACATATTGAAATTTGAAAAGCAGCCCAACAAAGGAGGAAAGATAATCAGTTCTCTGAACACAAATACTGACCCAGAATTCTCATCTTAAAACTTCCATTACTTGCAGTAATATGCAGATCTCACAGTAACTTTTACAAGCTTTTACTGCGAGAGCCAGACATTGTTCCCTCCACCCTCCCACCTCCTAAATAACCCTCCACCCACTAAGCTCGTAGCTGCCAGAATGAATTAATGGGTGTTTAAAGTGAACACACATACAGTGTGTGTGATACCACCGTCACCGCCAAACATTTGCTTTCATTTTTCCGGGTGGTTTGTGAGAGCGTTCAGTTGGCTGCCAAATAAACAGTACAGTTTTAATGATCGTGTGCAAACCACAAGCTGATTATCTAATTACTAATCTAGTGTAGAGAAAAAAAACAACAGTCATTTCTGTCTGGAACACCCTGATACAGATGCTGAATTTATCCCTGAATCTGGGGATTCTGGGAAATTCACCCGCACTGAGAGATGAGAAGACATTAATACAGAAAGAAAATGAGATTATGTTTCTGCAGAACTGTTTGTCAAACGGCTGAGAACACATGCTGTGTTACTGACAAACAAGCATAACCACTAAGTTTGAGTTTTATGACTGGATAACAAAGGCAGTGTGATCATCAGACCAGGAACGTGACAAAAAAAAACATTTGTTTTACTGCTGGAAAGAAAAACGATGCTGAACTTCACCAATCGTTGAGGAATGAACATGGTTAGATAACATCCTGTGCAGCTCAAAGTTAGTCTAAGATTGAAATATCCTCATATTGTTCCTCTGCTGTGGAACCAGACCGTAGACAGCACAGGATCGCTTGTTTCGTAGCAGTCGGTAGAAAGAAGTGGAATACATTGGAAACTCGATCTCACAGGAAAGCAAACAAAGCGGAAGGGGAAACATTGGGGCTTATGTTTAGTAGAGGTCAGATGTGCTTCTCGCTCTAATATCTCCCATGTGTACACAACCCATAACAATGAACAACTAAGAACTTGTGATATTTGATGCATGATCGTGTGGAAAATGAATGAACCCACAAATCCAGCACAAGTGAGTGAGAATCAATAATGAGCTGCAGATTTGTGTTAAAACTAGATGCCAATGCGGTGATGCATTCAAGTGCAGAACGTGCCAGCAACAGTGGAGAAAAGTGTGTGCGTGTGTGTGTGCACGTGCATGTGAACACAAGTGTGTGAAGTGCGTCTTTGCTTAGCTCAAGGTCTCGTGGCCTGGTTTTCCCCTCACACACTCTCGGGAAAGTGTTTGCTCCCACGGTGAATCACTTTCCCCAAGACGAGGTCAAGACGTTATCTTGCATCGTAAAGAATAACTGTCAGTTTCTCTGCTGCTGTGCTGGGATGTAAAGGGATCACCCAAGTCCGATGCTGCCCTCTGATGGCTGAGAAGTGCAACGCCAACCTCTGTGTAATGACCACTACATGGAAGCTGCTTTCAGACATGCACTGAACCCGGACACTCTCCGGAGGAGGTGCATGTGTGAACACAAATGTCCAAGTGAGAGCCTCTGGACTTTCTGCAGACTCTCTTCATCTAGTTTAAAGTCTGCAGAAAGTTGATGTGAGAACACAGCAGGAGATCTGCTGCAGGATTCACAGAGAGCGAGTGGGGGAGTTGATGAACACACAACAGATGAAAAAATTTAACAAGAGGAAGAATACAAATATCCCAAATATCTTGGCACAGGAGCGTGTCTCAGCTTTTGATGGATCAAGAACAATCGTTGATATTATTTAGTATCGGGGTAAAACCCCCTCACATGCTCCTTCATACCACAGACATTTTTGTGTATTTCTGTGTTTTTTGTGTAAAGGAGCCACTTGAAAACGGGATGATTCATCTCAAAGAGTTTATCCTTCTAATTAACTTAATTTACTTCATTGTCTCTCAGGATTACGAGTACCCCAACCACCCCCAGTCCACGCAGCACCAGAAGAACGACCGGTGTCCTCCGCCGCCCCAAATGCTGCCGGAGCGAGCCTGCGAGGTGCCGGGCTGCCGCTCAGACTCAGAGTGCGAGCGCCATAAACGTTGCTGCTACAACGGCTGCATCTACGCCTGCCTGGAGTCCGTTCAGCCTCCACCAGGTCGGCAGAAGCAACAGACAAAAATGTTTTAATGTCTGAGCTGAGCAGCTATTCGAGAGAAAGATGGGCCCTTAACCTTTTACCAGGCGTCCCCATTTTCGTGCACAGGCCTGAAAATAACCTATAAAGATAAGTCGGTTGTAAACCAGGTCTTTAAATGATCAATCTCTACATTTTTCAAGGAGATTAGTAGAGTAGGGTATTAGAGGCACGAACAAGAGAGAAATAGTTATATTTATTGCCTATTTTCCTGCATAAAAAGGAGAATCTAAAGGCCTGTGGTAGTTCAGTATTTTTTATGAGAAAACTTTTGGCACCATAGCCACAAGACAAAACAAATTCTGTGTGAAGATTCTTGGCACACACAGATACTTTCAAACTTTCAAGCTATCAAACTATTCAAATTTCAGACAGTCTATAATTTGTAAAGGCTGCATGAAAACTGAGTAAAGTACAGACTGAAAAAAAAACTAAGTAGTAAAAACAAGGCCTTTGAACAGGTTAAATCACAACAGGATGTTTTTTTGATTCTGCTGCAGGATTGTTGATATTTAACATTTTAATAGCATAGAAAAGACATCATCTTGAGCTGTGTGTGTGTGTGTGTGTGTGTGTGTGTGTGTGTGTGTGTGTGTGTTCACAACAGTGCTGGACTGGCTGGTGCAGCCCAAGCCTCGGTGGTTGGGGGGTAACGGCTGGTTGCTAGACGGCCCTGAAGAGGTTCTGCAAGGTGAGAACTCATCACTGATGTCATAGAAAACATTTTACAAAGTGCATTAAGTAGAAAAACTCAGACCTGACTGAATCTCACAGCTCCATCTCTGTCAGGTTCTGTTTTCATCAGCGGTTGTTTGCTTTTTTGTCTGTTAGCTGATTTACACTAAAACTTCTGGACAGAATAACAGAAAACTTAGCAGAGATGTGAAACAGGTCAGGGAAGAACCCACTAGTTCAAGATCCAGGATTCTTCTTCAATTTCTCTTTAACTTGACGATGCAGCATTAGCCTTGGTGGAGGAATGAGCTCTCAGAGCACCCTTCCAGTGAATGTGAGCAAAACCATTTTCTTTCTTTCTAAACTGTTGTATGTGTTTCCGGATTCTCTGGGATGTTTTTAAGTCTCCCAGTATTTATCCCAGTTCAATTGAGCATTCAGATATGAAAAACATCAGCAAACCATAGGAAAGTGACTAAAGAAAGTGAAAAAATAAATCCTGGATCCGCCTTTTTAACCTAATCCTCTCCAAAGGTCTAATGGCTTCCACTGAGAGTTATGCCCCACCCCTTCACAAACTTTAATAGGATCTGTTGTGTAGTTTTTGTGTATTCCTGTTCACTAATAAACAAACAGACAAACAAACACAGATGACAACGTATCCTCCAATGCTTAAACTTAAATCTGCATGATGGCATTCTATTTAGAAGGTAAAAAAGACGGTTTAAAGAAGGTAAGTAAACAACCTGGTGTTGTTCACATCTGTGATTTCCTCTAATGCCCAGTATGTTTTTTTATGTTTCCACCAGCTGAGGCCTGCAGCACAACTGAAGATGGAGACGAGCCTCTTCACTGCCCCACAGGCTACGAGTGCCACATCATCAACCCGGGAAACCCCACCGCTGGTATCCCCAACCGGGGACAGTGCATCAAGCAGCGCGGGAACTCCGGTAAGGCTCTGGCACCTCTGGTAACAGCTGAGCAGTTTTCTGATGTGGCTTTGAATCCAGCACACATCTGATTTAATCTCCAAATAAATAAAAAGCTCAAAGGGACAGAAATAAGAACCTAATGATTTTTTAATGACAAGAATGAAAAACAAGAATTCAAAATACAAAGTGTGGAATACACAGATCAGAGCGTTTTGTTTTGTTTTATATAATAGTTTTGTTTCTTTCATTCACAGACGGTCGGGGCTTGAGGCACAAATACTTTAAGGACTACAAGGACTACTTAGGTAAGTGAGGTAATGAGAACAACTTAAAAAACACTTAACTTACAAACACAATCACCGGGTCTGAAATAACATCGACCTGCCTGATGGGATGATGTGTTTCATTGACTGACAGGAACCAGCTCTAACAATGCAGTAGGCTACGAAAAACTTCAGCACAAGCACCTGGGATAAAGTACGTTTTTTCAGACATCGTGTCGGAGAAAAAAACTTTATCTTCCCTGAGACAAAACCTTATGTTTGTCTTTTTTCTATCTTCATTCAGATCAACCATGACCTCAGCCTCAGCGACGACCATAACACGACCTCAGACATCAGCCCAGTGGATCTGTTCTCATCTCACCTGAACAAGGGCCACATCTCAACTTTTCACTTCACCCACAGCTGCTACCTCCTCTCTGCAAAGCCCACAGTACACCACCAAAGAAATACCTACATTTATTTTCTTTTTCGTCTCTCTGTCTAATATATTCTGCAAGAAAGGAGCAGAGGGTGTTGATGGTGATGCAGGAAAGAAAGCAGGCTGTGCACCAAAGTTGTTTTGCCATAAATCTCACAGGATGTTTGGAAACATTACAGTTAAATCATTTAGCGCTTGTTGTTATTCTCACACATGGACAAACCTCTAAAACTCTAACCTGAACGCTGGTCAGCAGAGAAAAGCAAGACCATATGTCTCTGTTACTCGTTCTCTACAGCACGCTATTCAAATTTCTGCAAATCTGGAAGACTTTATGGACAAATGGGAGAAATCCCAGCTGCTTCTTTGAGTAAAACCCAAATGTGAATTAAAATTCTAATTATGAGAATGAATGCCATATGAGAGTGTGGATTGTGTCAGTTTTGAGGGATTTGGAAAAGCTGTGGGTTGGGTGGAGACAGCAGATCCCAACTGTCACAACTTGATGAGTTCAGTTGGTTCATTCAAGAGGCTCATTTGAGCGAAATTAACTTTTTAACAGATTCTCTACATAAATAAACCAACAGAGAGTGAAATATGAGTCATGCAACAAATACCTGTTATACACAAGCTTTTCATTAATTGTTATGTTTGTTTTTGCATGAATGTGTCATCTGGTGACAAATGTAGCTCATCTGATAAACAAGATGATTCAGTCTGACTTAAATTATCTCAACTCCATGTTGCTCTATACCAGCATTTTAACAGTAAGGGCTTTCGCACGGAGCTGATTTTGAAAACTGGTCAGAAAGTCTGTTATTCTAGAGCTGAACCTGCTTCAGTTCATTTAAGTTTGTTGTCGTGTTATCAATATATATGGTGCTCACGTTCATTTTTGCCTCTAATAACAGGAGAATAAGCTGAAGGTGTAAAAACAAAAGCTGTAACCATGAATTCTCTGTGTGCAGAACTAAAGTGATGTCTGAATGTTTCTGCCTAACTGGTGCTGAAATGCTGCCTCGTTTATTCTAAATAAACAGAAACAACATTGTCAACACATTTTTTTTCCAGCTGAAAGAAATCTAGGTAGATTGAGAGATCGATAGATAGATAGATGAGTGGATGGATGATGGATGGATGGATAAATAGATATACATAGACAGACAGATAGATTGATAGATAGATAGACAGATAGATAGATAGATGGATGGATGGATGGACGGACGGACGGACGGACAGACGGACAGACGGATAGATAGATAGATAGATAGATAGATAGAATTTCATGAACCAAAGATTTATCATCCTCCTTATCTGTGCTTTAAGTATTAGAACTAAACTTCACACTTGACAGATTGAAGCAGTTTAGCTCAGTTGAATGTTCTTTTCTGTTCCACCTGCAGAGACAGGATGGGCACCACAGCTGGCTCCACATCTGGAGCTGATCCTGAAAATCACAGAGAAGCAGGTCCGTGTTGTAGTTTGATGTGTTGCTGCTTTCCTGTATTTAAAATGTCACATGTTTCTTCAGTGATCCAGTGTGTGACCCTGTCAACGCTGCCCACTACTGGACAAAGACAGACATCACTGTTGAATGTCCTTCGACAAATATCAATAAAGAACAATAAAACACAACATTGTACCACAACTGACACAACAGTGTTGGTGCAACTTCAACAGAACAGAGCTCTACTCTTCACTGAATAACAACAAAAGAATACTCAGGTCTTATAACAATCTTCAGTATGTTGTTGTTTGTGAAGGAAGATACTCGACTAAGAGTTTAGGGTTCATTACATTAATTTAACAAATCTAATTTTGGTCTTTTGGTGACTCGCAGGCAATGTAAACAATATGAAGACAATGTTTATAATATGTACAAACAATGCCTCATATATATATGTAATAAACAGAGTATATAAAAGAAAAGTAATATTCATAAGATAGAAGTGATAAGAAGTGAAGTGGCGCAAACAACATTACTTACAGAAATGAGTGAAGTATTCATATAAGTATTTGTAAATGTGAAGCAGCTTTTGAACAGAAGAAACAAAAGTAGATATGGTGAAGCCAAAGATACAGGATTGGATAAGATACGGTAATTCTTTATTAGTCCCACTAAGGGAAAAAATGGGGATGGTAAAATATAAACGTCAGAAATGAATATGTAAACATGCAAAATCAATAAACATCAGTAAATATGAAAACAGCTAAGATGTTGTAGCAGTAAGGAGAAAATTAAATTGACAGAATGGCCCTTTACACCTGAACAGGAAAAGGAGGAGCATAGGAGCTGATAAATTGGACACACCTACAAGGTGAAAAGGAGGGAAAAACAAACTAAGGAAGGAAAATGGAAGAGAACTGAGGAGTTAGAGTAACTGAAGGACGGAGATAAACCAGTCTCTGCACATATGTGCTAAAAGAGGAAGAAAAGAGACCAACATTAGGGTAATAAGTGGCAGTTGATCCAGGAACCGGCTGATTTTTCACAAATCCTTCAGGACAAAGAGGCAAATGAGCTGATCCCTGATGAAGTGGATTAAAAAATCTGTCTGATGTGTTCGGATTGGGCTGTGATCTTCTCTGTCCTGGTTGAATTACAAAAGTTAAGTCTGTCTCTCTCTCCACTGGCTTCTGCTTTTTGTTTAATAATCATGCTTCTTTGATTTGACTATTGGGATGAGAATAATTCATTGAATTCTAATTGATTAGCTGAATTGATTGATTGTGATTCCTTTTCATTTGAAGCCTTTATGTTGCTAGGATAAGAAGCTATCCGGGTTAGCTCTCTGACTGTGATTAATTGACAGGTTAAGAAGCTCCACCTCTCTTTTTCTTGGACAACCTACACTAGAATGTAAACTGGTTTGAAGATGGTGAAATTGCACATGCAAATAAATATTCCAGTTAAATAAATGACTTGTTATTGACTAATCAGTCTTTTTCTGTTATAAAAAGTGTTTTCTATGATAAATTAAATCCAAGCCCTTCCATCTAATGACCTTTACTATCCAGCTCTTACTTTCTCCTGGTACTAATGAATATCAATACTCGTCTGGGCATTTATATGTTATTTAATCTTTGCTGTGTTGTAAAGTATCTAGACCCTGAGTCTGAATAATAAATGGAATTCATTGATATTTTTTCCCAATGCACATTTTAACTTTTTAATAGATTTTGCATCTTCTCAGTAATGTCTGTGTGGATGTTTTGTTGCACAGTGACAGTGTGTTGGGACCTACAGTATGGAGGTGGATGTAAATGTATATCCCAGTGGGTGTCTGTGCCTCCCTCTGTCTCACCCTCTCCCCCCTCCCTCTCTGTTGCACACATGCACGTGAATATTAAAGCTGCACCAGAGAAAAACCCTCAGAGAATCAAACAGTCAGTGAGTACACAGTGTTGTCTTTGTGTTTGTTGGAAACACTGTCACTTCTCTTGTGTGTTATCACCTGGAACCTAAACACTATGTCACTCGTGACCGCCTCCTCTGTGCCACCGTGTTGATTCATGTCACCATGAGCGCGCACAACAAGTCTTCAGAGAAAAGGTAAGAGAGATGACCACCTGTTGGTTTGAGGATGTAACATTACACCGTCTGTATTTGTGTTTGTATATTTATTTTTGAATGATGAGTCGATATAATATCTGATACCTACTGTGGCCTATTTGAAAATGTTGATTTTAAAAGAAGGTACAAAGTGCTGCACAACAAGAAAACGAATGATTAAAATACAGAAGGGAGTAGTGTACATATTTAATAATGGAAATGTGATATAATGAGATAAAGTACTAATAACTCCAAGTAGATTCAGGAATTTGCATTTTTAGCTAATGCTCATCACCAATGTAGAAGAGGATATGTGTTTTTACTTTATCTTTGGCTGATTATCTAACATGTTATATTATGTTTAATATATTTTATTATATTTTACCCTTGAGGCAGTTCATCAAAGTAAAGGAAAGTATGTTCGGGCAATAAAACAATATACAGTTTCCCTTAATAGCAATATAACAAAAATCCATTAGAAATTGATATATTGCTTATTAATGTATACTATGTTGATCAAGTGTTTGTTACTCTCTACTCATAAAGAGTTTAAAACAACAACCTTCACTCAGGAGGAAAAAATCATATCAACACTATAAATAATAATTGGACATCTATTGTTATAGTTATTGATATCGACTGAACATCTTTACCGTCATGTAATTATTTGGCTGTATTGCTCTCAGGAAGTGTCCGTCAGACTTGGCACCTTTTTAAAACTTGTGATTTGAATACAAGAAAAACGTGTCCAGGAGGTGTCAGTGTAGTTTATTATAACGGCTTCACCAGTAGAGAAGTGGTCTGAGCTGTGTAATAATATTCAAGTCATCTAAACATTGTTTTTTTAACAGTTATCGAACACTGAACCTCATTGCAGAATAGTTTTCATTCCTGTGCAATTTATATCAAACAATTTTTTTTCTATTGGGCAGGAATGGCTCCAAAAATAAGCTGGATAGGTTTCTGAAGGACAGAAAAGGCACCTTTCCGCTGCTGATCAAGGTAAAAAGACATTCCTGTTCAACTAGTCTCTGATGTTCTCCTCTATTCATGTCAGTCTGACCACATCAGTGTATAAGTTATAGTCGAGGCCACGTTTTTGTGGGGTGGCAGTGGGCCTCTGAGCAACTCTACACCTTGTGTTGATGTGCAGGTCATTAAATAAATGTTATTTAGGTGTGCGTTCAGCAGAAATGATTTATTAGGGAACACTCTCTACCCTGTGATGTTCTCGGACTACATCATCTGAGAGAGAGGTGCCATGTTCCTATTTGTTGGAAGAGAGAAACTGCCCAACCCCGACACCCACCTGGTCTGACCCCTGTCATCCCGACTTCATGGAAAGTACCACAACCTTCATCTCGGCCCTACAAGGACACGCTCACACAGCAGTGGGTTGAACCAACCACCACCACACACACACACACACACACACACACACACACACACACTCTCATGAAGGGATTATGCCACTTGTTCCTCGCTGAGATCCAACAGGACATTTTTCTACTTTACGTTGATTGAAGGTTTAATACAGTTTGAAGCTCATCAGAGCAGACAAAACCAGTGGAGCAGGAATGATTGAATCCCTCTGATGTGACACATTGTACAGAAGGCTGCTGGTCACCTGGATGAAGGACTTGTTCAGGATCTTATATTTATTAATTCTCTATTCAACCTGGAAGATCCCATTGAGATGCAAGATCTCCTCTGCCAGGCAAGTCCTGTTCAAGATCGGCAGTAATGAAATGAAAAGTTTAAAACAAATATGAGCACAGAAAAATGACGCCAAAAATATAACAAAACACAGCAAACAGGATAAAATTTAGAACGAACGTTTAAATACAATGATGTGTGTGGTTTGTCGGAGGTCGGAGTATTTTGATGCCTTGCAGATGAACAGCCACAATAATGTGTTGTCATTTAAGACTCCTAACAATGTTGTTGCGCTGTATTACTGTATTACAATCTGTATTGGTCGTCAAATCTAAATCCCATCGCGACTCCTTTGATTTGCTTTGATCTCAGCTCTTTAAATGAAGCCCCACTCAGACATTCTCATTAATCAACCAGGGCAGTGCCGGCAGTTTTTAAAGCCAAGAGACACTCAAGATAAGAGGGCTGAAAATGTTTGAACATCAGTGAGAAACTGGACAGAGCGGAGGTCGAGGCAACATTTGAAGCTATTAGAGCTCGTGCTGTGAGCAGACTCCACCCTAAGAGAGTCAGTTCAAACGAATTCATCTTTCTCGAAGTTGGGATATCAATACAGGGCATTTGCGTCATTACAAAAATACAGACGCAAGCAGCTGCTCCCAGCAGATGCAGCACATGGCTTCAAGATGTGACTGTAGCAGGAGACATGTTTTTCTTGTTTGTAGCTTTCATGTGATATGACTCACTACTGAAGTTCACCTTTGACATTTCAGTCTTTTTATATAAGAAAGCGCTGTGAGCTCCTTCCAGAGAAAGTGGTGTGTTGCATGGATGTGACTCATTTTTGGGC